TTACAAGAAAAAACTGCTCTTAAACTGGGTGTGTGACAGGTATGGCTGTGGAATGGGGTTTGGCTGAGGAAAAATTTTCAGTCTAAAGATTTTTTTTTGCTTTAACCCCTGTACTTAAATACCCCTGTAAAAATATCTAAACCTTGACAAATGTAGTCTTTTAGAATGTCTAAATATATATCTAAATGCAAAACCTGATTAAATGAAGAAATTATGTCTAAAAAACAACGGGAATCCAAAAGCCTCTGTATATTGATATAGGGATACAGGAGGTTATGCAACATTACACAAGTTTTTATTTTTTTAACGCCTCCAGATGGCACAATTCTCACTTCAAAAAATGTGAATGTGATTTTAATGTGAAATATTGTATTTATTAAAAAATAATACAGAAATTAATAAAATATATATTAATTCTAATGGAAAAAATAGCTAATTAAAATTGTATAAATATTGCATAGTATCATGAAATTCCCTCAAAATGATAAATAAGAATAAAAAAATATTATTGAACAAAAATGTATTAGATTGACTTTCCTGAAAAAAAAAAAAAGTTACTTTTTGAGGCTTGGGTCACTTTTGACCGCGAAGGAGCCAAGTGCGACTCCCAAAGGAAGAGGCCCAGAGGGTTAAACAACACTGCGTCGTCAGTGTTGGTAAAGTTCCCATGAAATAAAAATGAAAGGTTTTTGGGTGTTAGTATCAATATGTTAGTCTTAAGGTTATCTATAAGGCAGTGTGCTCCAAAACAGTGACAAAATTCGCATTTAGAAGATACAAGCATTCAAAGCTTGCAGTTCGTCACTTCCGCCAAAACGGCTCAACAATTTTTATTTTGACGTCACATCATACTTCAGCTTCTCATCAAACTTTCTGTCCAATCAAATGCTCTCTAGAATACGAAGCGCCCGCCCCCTACACTATAAAATAGACGCTGAAGCCGCGGCTGAAATCGGTCTCTTGTCCACAGAATTAGTATTTTCTGTACAGTGAATGGCACGTAGTGCACTATATAGGGGACAGGGAACGATTCAAACAGTGTAAATATGCTTTCCATTGCGGAAAAAACAAGTCTGGTTTCGCGCTGTGTAACGCTAACCACCGGACCGCATACACACTCTGCTCCGGTACAGAGACACGATAGCACGGCGCGGATCACAAAGTGTATCGGAACTATTTGAATTCTACACAGAATGCTATATTTTATAGCAATATGGATGAGATTGTGGCTGGCATACCCTGTCAAATGCGGCATTACGGAGCTCAACGGCTCTGGCTTCTTCTTCTTTTTGTTCAATGGCCGTTCACTCCTTAGGAGTATTACCGCCACCTACTGTATATCTTGTGCACATGGGTGATGAATCTGTACTGAAGGGAAAAAAAAGAAAAGAAAACCCAATTTGTAATGCCCCACCCACCCCATAAGATCAGAGCCCAAGCTTCAGCTGGCGCTGCGTTCAGCTCCTCCAGCTTCCACACTGTGCTCCTCAACCTCCGAGATGGGCAGAAGCATCATGATCCTCTGAACGGCTCTAGCCCAAGCTGTGATATAAACAAAAACTCTATTGGCTATTTTAAAAAGGGGCGGGGCTGCTTGATATGTCCCGCCCTGTCTTCCTGTTTCAGTTAAAATGACGTCAACACATAGAGTAACGCTGCGTGTTTCTAAGCATTTCAGGGGACCTTTAACATTAGGCTATATGAAAAACAAGCTCAAATGGAGTTAACAAGGTTTTTGGCCGGCGAATGAGGAGATCTGTGTTTTGTCAATAGAACGGCCGCATCTGAGGCAAGTGCATCGCATTATACCCTTTCATCAACTTTTACAGGTTATATAACGTTTATTGTTGCTATATGGGCACTTCGTTTTTCTTTAATTTCTTTTGTTTAATACACTTGGCCAAAATCTCATGATATAAACGATTAAGCGCTTATGCACGGGATATTTAAAATGTACAAAAGTATAGCCTATTGGCTAGACGGCAAATAACCTACTTCTCCGCTTTTCAAACACATAAAAACATTAGTCTTTAGACATAGTGTTTGAGTAAAGAAAATGCTGTAATATTCAAACATCAGTTAGCTATTTATTTACCCTTGCATTGTGTAAGGAGTGAAATTATTTCCTCATGAATCCAAAACATCTGGAACTCACACACGTCAAGAACTCACACAAAACAGATGCCATGCAGCAAAACCATAAAACTAATCTGGAGAAGAGATCTCCAAAGAGGGCAAACAACACCTCTCTCCTTGCTCATTTACGACCCCCTTCTACCCCTGCCCTCTCTGCCTCTCCCTCTTTTCCCCCAAAAGGTTTCACTCAAAGTTCATTAAGAATATGTATACCACATATCATGTATCTTGTGAACCTGTTGTTTTTCCCCTTCATGTTTGGTATCGTTCTAAAGGTCTCTGTGCGATTGGTAAATTGGTCTCCATTTTACAGTAGTCACTTATATTATGAGAAAGACTGAAAACTCTGGAAGAATTCTGTTCTGCTGCTGAGGGGTGTGTCTGCCTCAGGGTCTATGAGAATGTTTATCTATCTACAGCCAGATGTGACCCTGGGTCACGAGAACCTAAGTAACCAAAAGGTATTTTATGTTTTTACAACTGATTTGAAGATTTCTTTGTTTTTGGTTTGGGTAGCCTATATAAGGGAAGTGACAAAACATTACTGGGGATTCTGTAGTCAGAAAACCCCTGCAGCTTATGTGAATCTGGAGCTCTGCACTAGAGCTCACATACTGCTGTGTGTCTCTCTGCTGTCAGGTATGCATTTCGTTTTTATTCAAAAATGTAATTGTGTTGAACACATTGTGCCCACAGAACACACTGTATAGTTGTTTGTGCTACTAAATGTGCACATAGGCTAGTTAAGTTTATTCTTTAAAACACGACTGCTTTGCTGTAAGTGTTCTTTGAAATGCTTAGGTAAAAGGTTGTATAGATGCTATGCATTCTAGACCATGAGCCTTGTGTTAAAATTAGGATAACTGTTACATGTGTGACTGTTACATTTGTTTGTCTCCTGTGGAACACATGGCTATTCCCCATATAGCTACAGTATGTGCAGGAGCAGGGTTGCCACGCGGCTACAATGTGATTCACAATTGCATTATCCTTTCTAAATTGGCTTCTAATTGTTTCATTATGTAATTGGCATGATACAATTTTACCTGACTAATAATAAATTGTTATATTTTATTTATTTTGATCTCTTCTGAAATCATGATTATTTCTAGATTAAAATCGTAGTCTGGTGTTTCCAGATGAGTGAAGTGGGGGCTCATCATTAGGGATCTTCTGATTTCTGTCTGTCACTGACATAGCAAGTTACAGTTTTTCGTGATTATAGAAAAAATACACTTTTTGTTATGTGCTAGCTGGGTGCAGCCTATTTAAAGGCATTACAATCACCCTGTATCCTCTGAGTAAGATCAGAGCTGTTGGCCAAGTGAATTACTAAGCGACACTGGGTCGTTAATGAACGAATAATCGAAAGTATGGGATTTCCAGAATAATCAAATATCTAAATTAATATACAATCGATATCTGTGATAAGTTTTTAATTAGAAATATTGCCTACATTTAATGATCACTTGAAACTGGAGTCAGATTGAACACGGAGCTAGACTAAAATTAAAATTAAACTAAATCCTGATAAATTCAGAGGCCCAAGTAGAAGACCAAACACGCATGAAACCTTCGACCAGGCCGCTGGATTCCGCTTTTAGGGCCGGCGGGTGGATTCTTACGGTTGCGAAAAAGCGGAGATATAGCTGTCTCCTCCAGGCTGTGCGCGGCGCGTCAATCTGAATGGAGACGGGGTGAAGTTACGAGGTTTTGCTGAGAGCTTGAGGATCCAATGGCGTTACGAAATTTAACTGACAAGCTCTTTGTAATACCTAGCATTGGTTAAATATTTGTAAAACCCTCTGATTTAAAATAATAATAACGAATTACAATAGAGATATGAAGTTTGGATAATTTTTCACGGCACACCTGACTGGGCTAGGATATGGCAACTGCCGTACTCTGCCATACGGAAACGCCGCCCCTGGTCGTGTAACAGCTCTCTCTTCAGTGAAAACACATCATCTGTTGTATTAATAAAATAAAATATTAAACATTTAAAATAATGTCATGTAGTCTGTTAGGCCTTAATAGGAGCAAATAGTTTGTACATTGTCTGTAAATTGTCATAATTTTGTATTAGGCTAATTAAAATATCTTTCACAAACAGCTACATATCTGTCTGTGTTTAAGTGTGTAATGTGTGGAAGGTAAAGCAAGCAGACAGGGACCTGGATGCAGGGTGTGGCACCATTATACACATGCAGGCACCATTACATTACATTCCTGACAAAAAACAAAAGAAACACAAGGACTGTATACACAGGGGGCTAATCAAAATAACAAGACACCTGGGGAGACTAATCAAGGGGAACCACTGAACAATCCCCACACAAGACAACACATGTAACATATATGTAGTTGGCTTGCATTTATTGTAGGTATAATTACAGTACAGTTCTTGACATCCCACCTCAGACCTCGCTGATTTTCAAACACTCGTTGTAGCCCTAACAATAATGTAGGCCTACACTTGTTAATGTGTTTATTCTTGTTGGCACTTTTTTTTAAACCCTCTGGTTGTCACAATTCGCTGCCGGAAGGAACGCAGGAGATGCAGAGAAGCATTAAACAGTCTTTTAATGATCAGACACAGGGGTAAATCCACAGGAAGGAAGAATGACACACGTAGCAATATAACATGTAGACCCGACAAATGAGAAATGCACAGACAGGAGCTCTTCTACATGACGACATAAGGGAATTGGGAGGAACACAGGTGCACAGACTTACTAATTAGACATGGGAGGAACTGGGTCACGGAGCACATGGGGAGAGAAAACACACACAACAGTCCAAGGGCGTGACACTGCGGCTCCTTGCATGGCAGTCAAAACCTTTTTTTCAATTAAATGAATATACTATGTACAAAGTATAATGTTTTTAACTTAATATTTAGTATTTTTAGGGGATTTTATGGTACTAAATTATATTCATGCAGTAGTTTTTTTTATCCATATTACCTGTTAACCCCTTTTTGAGCATAGACCTGAAAATGAAATTTCAAACTGAAACTGCTGTAAATCTTGATTTCTTTGGAGTGCAGACTGAAATTGTGTCTCTTTTTAAAGAAGACACTTAGCAAATTATTGATAAAGTGAAAAAAAAGTAAAATTCTAAAAAGTTATAAAAGTTTAAGGTCATTGTTTTGACAAATGCACAAAAATACTATTTTCAAATTTTGTATGACATATATATTTTCCATAACATGTTTTACTCGAACATCATAAATCTAAAACAGTTGTGTTCTACATTTAAGGTTCATATCTCAAAAAATAAACTTTCAATGAGATTTTGTTTGGGTACAGTACCAAACGTTTCCACTAGTGGCAAAATCTTTACCAAGTTTCGTACCATTCTGATGAAGAAAAAAAAAAAGTAAATATTTTGCCATCAAAAATGACTGAAGAGCACCAGAGGGTTAAGAAACTAAATTAAGCATAACAAACCAAACTAACATTAATTGCATGAATAACAATGACACCCCAAAGCTAGCACCGACATATGTATAATTACAAAATAAAGTTAAAGTAGTTAATGTGATATTATAATTATGATTATTTTTCCACACATGTTTCTGTGACAGATCCAGCTGTCTTCTTGTTGAAATAGTGCACTCAACTGCCACACACTATATAAGGCTTAGTGAACGAATTAACAAATGGGTAAGCGATTCTGAACACAGCACCATTTTTTTAGATTTAATAATTTAATTCTCTTTAAAAATATTTATATAGATTTTCAATCTTGGCTGGTATCTTCAGAAGAGTTATAATTGGGTATAAACGCTTTGTTTAAGTAATATTATAGTATTCTTAATACCATTAACATTTACTTTCATTGCTATTGTTCTACATGCCCTGTGAAAATTTACTGAAGTTACTCTAGAGGTCGCTAGCTTCTGTTTTTCTGTGTGCTTCGCATTTATTTAAGTGGATCCATTAACCAGGATGACATAGTAGAAACAGTCCATTTGTCTGGATAAAGCAGACTTTTTTTTTGAGTCCATTAAAGAATGCGCTAATTGTCAATTTTAGATTCTCAAGGGACAATGCAGACTAATGTATTTGAGTATATTGGTTTAATACCCAATTATTATGTTGTTTCTGACTTAATATTGCTGTTATGATATAAGTATATGATTACTCATTGGTGTTGTCCTTTCTTAAATACTTTCTCTTTCGTCTCTGCTATGTTTCCTGTGTTACATCCAGCAAGGCAAAGTGTCTTGGCTTATGGAGCTGAACTCTGACGGTTAACAAAGCAGCGTAATGAGTGGGAAAGTCTGGACGTTGATCACTGTGAGTTATTATCAGTCTTTGCTAATGTGTTAGTGCAAGTCCTTGGAATGAAATGTTTAAGCCTTTTAGTGAGGTGTTGTGTGGCTGCAGTTTATTTTTTATTGCACTATGTTAAAGATAGCCCATGTAAATTGTATTACAAAAATACAACAGTGTTTCCATAAGATACATAACATACGATGAATTATTTTAGATGACAGTTGTCCAGAGCTGGGACTTGATTTTTGGCATTTCCTTCATAGGCAGTTTCATTCATCACATATATTCATGATATCCAATCCGGGTGTATGCAGCACGATGTTAAAGCACATCTGGTGAGTCTATCCTTCAATGTTTTTGCGACTTTCTGCCTATATCACTCCCAAGTGAATCTGGAGCTTGTTGCTTTTCATCCTGCACATTTCTGAGTTTTTAACTTGGGAAAGCATCTTGCAACAATGTGCAAATTTAAAATGTTTTCTAAAAAAGTGTTACAGCCATAATGTTAAGTCATGTTATATGCAGATAACAAGCAGTTAACATCTCACAATATGTAGTTGTTCTTACATTCTTACAACTAAGTGTTTTATTTTTTGACACGTTACTTTCCTTATGGTGGGGAAAGGGCTTTAATGCTGGATGACAAATTAAGCTTAGACATTTAATACACTAGACAATAGCGTACATAGTGCCTAGTATAAGTTACTTTACATTAGTAAGTTACATTAGTCTTATCTTGTCCCTTATCTACACTTTTTCATAGCTGTATGAAGCATTTGATTCAAATTAGTCAGTTGTAGTGTTCTGGTGCCATGACCCCTAAAGTGTAAATTGTTGTCCCTGACTACCCGTTTTTCAATAATGTGCTTGATTTATGTCTCTCGTAGCACTGGTCCTAAGGTCACTAAGGTTCCATTTATTAACCTTAGTAAACAATATAAAATGAATTAAAAAATATCTCTAGAGCATTTATTAATCTTGGTTAATGTTCATTTCAACATTTACTAATATTAAATTCATCTGTTAGTATTATTTAATGGACCTGAGCTAACATGAATTAACAATGAACAGTTGTATTTTTATTAACTAACATTAACAGTAACTAGTTACTGCCCAACACTGCCGACTATATACTGACTGTACATGAGTCCTTAAATATGTACATACTCTATCTTCTTTAAATCTGCATAGGATGACCTGTTGTTGGAAGAGCATGTGTTTGAGATTAAGGTGTTCTCACCTGAAACAAAGGTAAGATTACTTTTATTTACTTATTAACTTTATTTAACTTTATTTACTTTTAATATTAGTGGTAGTAGTAGTTGGATAATGTGTTATCATAAGCACTATTAGCTTCTTTAGATGTTTCTTGTTATTTCAGATGTATTGCACAGAAAAAGACAAACATAATAATTATAACGATTTATTAACTTGAGCTACAAAACTGCATTTCTCTGTCAGTCTATGCTGGTATGAATTTTAGTTTAAATAATTGAGTTTAATAATTAAGGCGAGACACTGCAGGTTAATAGGGTAAAAAAATTAACTAATAGTTATCACCTTACTTACCCAGTTGATTGATTACATTGATAATTGCAAAACATTTTTGTATTACAAGTTTTCTAAAATGTTATGTTTAAATATGCAAATGAGGCATTATTTAATTAAATATGCACTAATTTGCATACATTTCTAGTACAAAAATCTGAACACTGAATTAAGTCAGTTTCAAAATTCTTGTTTAATTTTTTTGACATATTAGAGTCAAATGTTTTTACAGAGGGAATTCTGGGTATCTCTTTTTGTCACTCCATAATTCAGAAAATACTTTGAACAGCCAGAAAACAATATATTTTCACACTTTTTGGGGGGAATAAAATGTTGTATATAATCAAGAAAATTATATATGAACAAATCCCTCCGTAAAAACCTTCAGAATATAGACAGGAATACAAATGTAAAGTTTGGTGTGTGTAAGTGCTACTGAAGTGGAGATTTATGGCTCAGTGTTGGAGAAAAAACTCATTTTGAGAAAACGGCCTTTAAAAAGATGTATTGTAATTGAAATTTATTGACACAAATAGATAAAGTGCTATAAAAGAAACATTTAACAGTGTCTTTTGGATGTTTTCTTTCCACTAGTCTGAAAAAAACACTTTATGAAAAACCAAAAAGCCCAAAATCTCATAATTGACAGGTGCATGATAAAACAGTGTTTTTGCCTGCAATGTCTCCCCTTAATAATAGTTATGTTATGGTTACAATATTTTTCTGACTGTTTTCCCAGGAACACAAGCTTCTATCAGTAATAAACACCTTGTGTTCAACCTGGACTAATAACAAATTTAAGGACATGAATAAATTAAAAGTGCTAGAAACTTTTCATATAATGCTGTATAATGTGAGTATACTGCTTACTCTATCATATTCTGTCATTCTGTTTCAAATATCAAATAGAATCAGTTCTGATTGCATTGTTTCCCTATTTCTCTCTATAGCTAGACAAAAATTGTACAGACTTTTGTGCTAATCTCAATTGCACAGATGCGTACACAGTACGCCGCATTGACACAAACACTTTTGGAGAAATGTACAAAAAATCTTGTGATGGATCAGTATCAGGTATGGACATTCAACCTTTCATCATTTATGCTTTTTCTTTAGTCTTGCCCATCCTTAATTTATTCATAATATGAACAATGGCCACCATAGATCTCTGGCAAGGCAATACTCTGTTGCTGAAGGCATTTAATTAAGACAGAATATTTAATAAACCAACATGCAAAATTACATGGAGTGGTATGTTGAATGTTATGAACAATACATGTTTGAAAATGCAGATTTTGCTCACTTTCTCTTTTTTCTACTTAGACCTGAAATGTCCATCAAATAGTAAGTTATTTGACATTATCTCACTTAAATATCCATGATGCATCTTTTTGTCTACTCTTTGTAAAAAAAGAGTCAATTTTTAAACTGACAAAAAGGAACATGTTAACGTTAAGCAATAGCTGATAATTTTTTTTGCACATGCAAAAACTGTGATTTTAAAATGATGGGTAGTGAAATTTGGTCTGGATGTTTCTAGTAGCTCTTACTATCATTTTAATAATTGCAATGAAACTGATTTCTTTAGCTCTCTAAGCACACACAGAGTGTTGTAGTACAGAAATTGTTGCATTAATCTGTTGAAACCTTTTGTAATATATCATGTTTTGTAATTACACAGGTACAACCATCAATCCAACCACTGAATTCAGTAAGCTGACTCAGTTTCTTATTTCATATTCACATCTCAAACACACATATTTTAACTGCCAATCAGAACTATTTAAATTAAAAACAGATCATTAGTTCATGTACATTCAAATATAAATATTTAAAAAAATATTTAAATCAAAGGTTCAGTCAGCTCTAACTATTTGAAAGTACATGACCTAAACATCTGCTACTAAACAGACATAATTATTAAATAGTGACAACAAGCCAAGTATCTCTAGTTTTGACAACCATGTTTGCTGAAACAGATGCAAACCTGAAGATAATGTGAGGGAAAAGAAAGACGTCAGATTCAAAGCTTTCTGAGCACATGCGTGGTATTATAGCTGTATTGGTCTTTTGAAGCTAAGTGTAATATAATCTTTTTTCTAATTAATCACATAGGCTCAGCATTTTTAACGACGGTCAGTTTAATCACCACAGATCATGAAAGTAAGCAAATTCAATATTGCATTTCATATTCACATCAACACAGATTACAGGACAGATACTTTGTCTGCCACGTGAATCAGAGTTTTTTGACATCAAACCACATTTTCTAATCACATAGGCACAACAGCTTTAACAACGGTCAGCCAAAACATCACTGCTCCTGAAAGTAAGGATCCCATCAAACTTCTCCAATTAAGTACATACAGAGTATTTGCATATAATACACTGAGCATTTAATCCCAGTTTTGTTTTTTAGAAAATGTAGTACAAATTTGACAATATTTAAAGAAACCAATAGATATTTAACTGGAAATATCCTTGATTTCTGATTATATGGTAAGATCAGTCTTTTATGGCCTTATTGAACTGTTTTTTTTTTTTTTATATGAGTATGCAATATTTTGCAGATTTGACAGCAATTTCATCGGCACGTACAGAAACCATCAGTAAGTTTGTCTCTTGTGAGAGCAGCTTCATCTGTAATGAGCAGCATAATGCCTTCAGCATACACGCAGTGGTCGGTTTCATATTGTGCATTTAGAAACGTTCAGCACCGGTGCAGTGTCTTTATTTCAGTTATCTTCCCATTAGCTTGAACCCATCTGACCCTTTCTGTTTTACAAGGCCTTATAGCTACAGAAATGTTGCCATCTGCCTGTTTTTGTTGTTGCTATTTGCACAATTCTCACCTGTTTTTGAAACACTCATTGCACAATTAAACTCACCATTTATTCGTCATTATGAAGTCCATGTATACAAACTCGTACGCTGTGACTTGATGATAATTGGCAGATTAAATATAGCAGGTGCACCTAATGAAGTCACCACAGCTTGTGCATTGTCACTAATTACTAATTTTACTAATACAGCTATATATTTACTAATTACAAATCATTTTGTACATTGCAATAATTACTAATAGTTTTGTGAAATAAAATCTAATACTGATTGTTTTCATCATAATCTTTAATATCACAAGCCAACAAACTACTTTTTTTATATATTTTATTTTGAATGATATATATTCATCTTTTAGGTTGACATTGGCTTGTATATCTCATGTTTTTATATGGTTTTCCCTTTTATTACAGTTCAAGCATTAAAAGATGACAATCAGAATCTGTGGGGTAAGTGTGAGATCTGTGGGTCTTTCTGACCAATTAATTTTGCTTTCCAGTCTTCTCTTTTCCTACAAGTCTCTTTATAAACTAAATTCCCCCCTCCCCCCTCCAAGCTGCCATTAAAACGTGTTCTGGACTCCTGGTTGTGTCGTTTCTGCTGAATATTGTTTTACTCCTCATGGTGGTTCATGTGCGCAGGAATTCCAAGGTAAAATGATCTAAGCATTAATTTGGTTTGTGAATTTATATAAAATTAAAGCAGGTTATTTTGTATTTGGGTAAGGGGGTGTGGTTTAATTTCAAACCATTACTTCTCACTAAGTCATCTATCCATAATACTGCTTTCTCCATGAAAAATTGTTTTGTCTGAATATAAGAGAAATATGCACAGATTAAAAGTGAAAACAGTCTAAAACGGTTCTAAAAAAAATTGTAGGTGGATTTTAATGTAAGAGGATAGCAGGGGATGGACTTTCACTGGAGGAAGCATTATTATGGATTACAGATATTTATTTATTATGGTTTGTTTCTTTAAATTTTTAATTAAATGGAAATGCTTAATTTGCTCACATGGCAATCTTTTATGGCATTATTTTAAGTGTTAACTATAAGAATAACGTTTATATCAGTATGTAATATTTTGTTTATGTAACATTTTGAACCTTTGTTAATGAATGTTAATTTGTCTCTTATGAGAGCAGCTTCATAGCATAAGGCCTTCAGTATACAATCAGTGACCTTTTTATCATGTAATAAAGAAAAACAAATATTTTTCTTACAGAAGAAAATAGCCAGAGAGGTGAGGCACAATCAGTTAGAAGATAGACTGATTTAGGTAACACCAACTTTTTTTTGTAGATTTTGGGAAATGGTTCAAATGAGCAGGATGTATATTAAGCTTTTTTAGTAGCTGTCTTGGACATTAAGCCATGTATACATGAGGAGAATGTCAGATTAATCACATTATACTTCTTTCCTCCTCTTTTTCCTTGCAGTAAATGACCATTTTAGCACTGCGGTAAGCTGATCTTTTTGTCACTCATCTAATTTTTAATCACTGAGATTCTGTATATATCTAATCTTGTTTGTTTTTCTTGTTCAAGTTGGTTGCTTGTTGAAGTTTTTCTCCAGTTACATAATCATTCTCCAGTCATCAGTTGCTGCTACCACAATCTCTATGCATGCCACAGTGCTGTCTTTGAATCTGTGACTGGCAACCATCCTAATATATGCAGCTTGTTATATTAATATACTCAGTCATGTCCACACAGATTGTGTATTTTACAGTTTCTACTTGTGCTTGTCTTGAATGTGGCTCCGTAACTGTTATCTTTCATCTATTAAGTACCTCTGTTCATGGTTTTCTGACCTAGAATCATATGGAATAAAATGGTCTGTCTGTCCAGCCCACAGGTTGTGGGTTATGTTTTAAGAAATACTTTAAATATACCATAATCTGAAATAGATTTTTAACACTTTATTTTATTAATCTTAGTATTTATTATCAGTTTTTAAATGATCTATTTACCCATCCCCGGTTCGCTTTGTTCTGTATATTATATATTTTTGTTCACACAAAAATATCACAACCAGTACAGAAATTATTGGGAAAAAAGATCTGTGACCTTTAGCATTCAGGTCCTGAATGGTTGTGCCAGACAGTTTCTTTTGAAAGGAATGATGGGAAAGAAAAGTATTTATTTACATCTAAGATCCCGCTGCAAAATTTTGCATATTTTGCTATGTTTGCGTGTAAGAGAGGACATGCAGAATTTATTTCTGGGTATCTCAGAATGTACATTTTATGTTAATGATATTTGTGCTTTTGTGTAAAATTGACAATTGTTTGCTGCAAAATGCACCCAGTAAAACAGGAAATATGATCATGTGTATCTTAGACCTTATTAAATGGCACTGAAAAGTTCTCATTAAAAAAAACTGAATGGCATGTTCATTATACTATAGTCACTATATAGTCTTTGTCTTCATTACCAAGAAGTGGTATGTGTTCCCTACTATATCCTCCAGGGACCCAGGCATAGTCTTTTGTCCTCTGCAGAGAACATTATATTTTACTGAATTTCTCTGAGACCGCAGATGCCCACTGATCTCTATAATGACTGGATTGCTCATTGCTTTTTCTTCTAAACTGCCATTCTGCTGTGTAGCCACTGGAAGTGATCGAGCCGCCATCTTAATATTCCCTACCGGCAGAGAGCATCATAATCACCCGATTTGAAGCATATCTGTCACATGGGATTAGTTTTTAAGATATGTGTATGTAAATAAAATTTTACTTCAGATCTTATCTGCAATGTTTATGGTCTTTTTGGGCAGGATAAGCGATAAATTGAAATTGTTCAGGTGGGTGTGTCTGCTGCACACTTGCCGACAAGGGTAACTGATCTAACACATATTTCTTTATGCACGTAATTATGCAGGAATTCAAGAAATAATAAACGTGAAATATCTATTAGTATCTGAAATTGATTTGAATTTACAATGAATATAATACAAGCCAGATTTATTGAGAGGTGCAAAGAAAAAATTCTTGAACTTTTAAATTTAAAATGGTCTTTTCTGTTCTGTTGCTTTTTCAAATCTGCATCATGTAATTTGCTGCTGTATCAATACAGAAGCATATGTATCGATATGCGTATCAGCAATGCTCCGCTTTAAGTCGAACAGACCTAATGTTAAAACATGTTAGCAACATGTTAAATCATGCTACCAACATGCTAATTAATGGTAAATCATGTTGGCAACGTGCTATGTTATCAACATGTCAAATCATCGGTCTGTCTGTCTGTCTATCTAACTTTCGCACTTTATAATTGTTTCAAACTTCAAGCTTTTACATCTCAGGGTTCTCCTCTGACAGTTCTGTCTGACTTGTCATTGTTCAATGTTTCTTTGTTTGTCTTGTGTCTGAGTGCATGGCTCTGTCTTTGTTTTGGCCATGTGCTCCTCTGGTCCTGCCTCCTTTTTTAGTCCTTATTGAGTCCTCATTTGCCTGAGTGTGCTCACCTGTTCCTCATGTTCTCAGCTCCCTTAATATTGTGTTCTCTTGCCCTCATGTTTTCTTTGTTGTTATACACTTTGCTATGTAATAGTTCTTTGCTGTTAAATAGTCAGTAGCGGACCTTCTTTGTATTTACTTGTAGATCTTGCCTGCCAATCCTCGTTGTGCTTTGTTCATTCCTCTGTTCCTGAGTATCCTGGCTATTGTTTAGTGTTTTCCCTTAATTTTCTCAGTTTTCTCTTGAGCTTTTAGTTTACTTGTATTTAGTTTTCCCTTTAGCTTTCCTTAGTAGTTTGCTTTTTGCCTTTTCTTTTACTAGTTCCTCTGGATTATTCCTAGCATCTCTTTATCAGGTTTCTACTTTATAGTGTTTCTAGTTATTGCTTCGCTTTTGTTTCTGTCTGTCATGTTTGTCGTGTCTCTTGTCTGTTCCAGCCCTGTCCTGCAGGCTGAGCCTCTCTGAACACTTTCTCTTGTGCTGTGTGATCCTGCCTGATCCTTGCTGTTTTCCCCAGTCTTGCACTACCATTCCTTCGCAGTGCTCTAACCCACCACCATCCTGGGCTGGCTCAGGGGCCGCTTTCTCAGACTGCCTGTCATTGTGCCTCGTACCTGCCTATTGTTTGGACTGTTCACCTCCTCTCTCTCAATCTCTCGTCTTGTCGATAAACCCGTTATCACTCATTCTGCATGTAAGTCCTATTCTTTCATGGATCCCTGACATTACAGCTACATAAAACTTTCAGGCTATAGGCTTTTTCAAGGCAACTTAAAGTTTATCAAAGTTTTTGCCCTAGTCATTTATATCTGGCTAATTTTCAAACTGTTTGTCATAAGTAAACGTCCCAGGAATACATTATAGGGTTTCAAATAAGCAAGTCAGACTTTTGGACAAACATGTATATCCTCAAAATGCCTGATTAACAAGAAGTCAATAGGGAGCAAAATTATAGATCAATATTCCTATGAAATATTACTTTCTTATGAAAATGTTGCTACGTTTTACTTCCATTATTACACTTCTTTTCTCATTACATGTTGCCCCCAAGAACACATTAATATGCAAATTAGATAATGTATAGATAATTTGCATAGATTGGGAAAACAAATTTATGGATATTTTACACAGATATTGCATAAAGTAAAATAGTATATCAAATAATTCTGTTACATCTTTCATGTAACATAGTTGAGAATCATCTGTACAAAGTTAAAATAGTAAAAAATAGCCTGAAACATAAAAATTGATTTAAAAATAAATAAATAAAATAAAACATTGTTTTTGCCTTAACTGGAAAAAGAAGTGTTGAAAAGTTTTCTGTTTCGACTGTATTACGTTTTATTTAATTAAATCAGGCACCTACCACAGTGGTGTCCGGAGCCGTCAATCTAAGCAAGGTACTTTTATTTTGACACCTACAAGAAAGGCTGCGCTAACGTCATGCTAAACAGCACATACTGATATGATTATTACATATTTTATTGAATGTCTAAGTCGCTCAGTGAGTATGTCATTCTGTACACATGCTATTTGGTTTCATATCCGCATGTTCTGCATTCTTAAGCGTGCGTGTAACGCGAGCTTTTAGTTAATCTTCATACGGTAGCAGTTTAGCCATGCATGTGTGTCTGTGCACTCCGTGACACTTTAGATAGATATCTGTTCAGATTACATACTTCAACTTTTTGTGTTGTGTGTCATTATAAAATTTGCTGATTTGTCCTGTACCCCACGTGTGTAGTCATGGAAACAGACGCGTCTCTCCTCGGCGTTGAACTAGAGCAGAAACGGCAAGAAGAGCTGTATCAACAATTTTTGCTTCAGGTAACCTCTTTGACACAGCGCAGCTAAAACATTATATACGGTATATAAGTAATAATGTAAGTACTATATTTCGAAGCAGTTCCCAGATATAGATATCATTACACTTTAAAAGTGGACTGTCACAATAAACGTTTCGTTTCATGTGCAACAAAAATGCACATTTAAAGGTATAGTTCACTCGAAAATGAAAATGCTGTCATAATTTACTCATCCTTATTTTGTTACAAACCTGTATTACTGGCTGTCTACTGCAAAACACAAAAGGAGATTAGGGGGGTTAGAGGTTAGGGACTGACAGATCTAAGGTGATGACACACAGGGCAACTTTTTTTGAGCAATGTTGCTTGGGCATTTTCCCATTGAGAATGGGCAACAAATTTCTATCTGGATACTTTAGATCGGCCGTGGGCCCTGTGTCTCACCTGGTTGCCCGTTTATGGCAACATTGCTCAAAAAGTTGCATCGTGTATCATCACCTTCAGTCACATTTTTTATATGGAAATGAATGAAAGTGCATGATGACTAAGTTTGTCAGTCACTTGACTTTCTGCCTAATAACCATTTTCACCAAAACAATTACCATATAGTAGTCCATATAACTTATACGGTATATGCATACTCGTCTGGCATCATACAATAGCTGTGAGGTCCATATTGTAAAAAGGAAATGTTTAATCTTCGGGCGAACTATCCCAGACAGAAAGGTTATGGATTCTGCAGTCTGAATTATCTGATTAAAGGTGGGAATACACTACAAGACTTTAAAAACAGAACAGATTTTAAAACACTAGGCATCATACACTTACTGACTTTGTAAAAACTCACAGAAGAAAGACCGGCCATCACACACTAAACGACCAAGGATCACACACTACCTACCTAACTCCTTGTTTGAGATCCAATATCTCCTTTGTTATTTTTATTAGTCATGCAGGTAACATGTTTGTTTAAAGGGGTCCTATTATGCTTTTTCACTTTTTCAACTTTAGTTAGTCTGTAATGTTGCTGTTTGAGCATAAAAAAGATCTGCAAAGTTACAAAGCTCAAAGTCCACTTCAAAAGGAGATATTTTATTTAACAGAAATCACTTTTCAAAAACTACAACGAACTCGTATTTCAGAAGGCGGGCCTTCATTTGATACAGGAGCTATTCGAGTGTTCATAATGTAAAATATGTAAAAAAATGATGTATTTTTCGAACAGCCTAGTATGAGAGCCTGTTCTCCCCCAAAACAAAATCAAGACTTTGTAAAAGAGCATAATAGGACCCCTTTAAACATGTTTGATATCCTCCAACTGGATGGAATCAAAGTCTGAAGCTAAAAAAGTCTCTAACCATCAAACTATGCGATTTTCTATAAAATCTGTCTTCTCAAATCTGCAGACTGGCTCTGACTTTCGGCAACTAGTGTCAACTTCTCCAGACTGTAAATCAGGCCAAAAATCTGGGCAAAATCGTATGGTGTATTCCAGCCTTAAGCCCACTTTTCCATCCTAAGCACAGAGTATTCTAGTTTTGCATTACATTTCAGACAATATGTAGAATTTGATTATTTTCTTTCCTTTCCCACCCTGTATGTGTCATAAGTCCCTTATTGCATAAAGCCATCTACCGAATGTACAAATGAAAACGTATATCTCTGAAACGGTAAATTAAATTTCATGTCCTTTGGTCACTAAACCCAGTTGGAGAGCTAGTCTAAGACAAAAACATTATTTGTTTTATCCAACCTTACAGACCATGGGAAAAGTGCAAAGCGAAAAGCCCCCCTCCAAAGTCATCTGTCCACAACCAGGTTAGACTCATATTTTACAAACACTTTCTCAGGACTCAGGACATTATATTTGGAGACATTGGTGGTGTTTATGTTTATTATGTAATTAAACCTGTCTGAATTTGTCTGTATATATCTGCTTTATGCCAGGCATGTGTGTGAAGACCTCCTCAGTGTCAGACAAAAAGAAGGTCTTTCTGAATATCTGTCAGTCACAGGTGGTACCGCCCCCTCCTCATCTGTCCCAGGAAGCACTCGTGGATCTACTGGAGTCAGAGGACCCGACGAGTTACAGAGTGCCCATGAGTCTCGGCGAGCCGCATACAGAAGTGGACAACAGTGAGACATTCACATTTTCACATTTACTCCATTCACCTTTTATTATCGTTTCCATAATCCAAACTGAAATATATTGTTTTAATTCAAGGCGTAGTCTAATCTGGTTGACACAAATCACCAAAAAGCAAGGAAATAACCAAAAGGAAATAACTGTTCCAAATGGCGTCATTAAATGTGAATGGCAAAACCGACACCTTAAGCTACAATGAATGAAAGGAAGTAGATTTGCATTCAAAATATTCGTATGTTTGCCAGGCTCACAAGGCTGTACTGTGTATGATGTCGTGATCAACGATGAGTTCTTCCAGAAATGTCAGGTGTGTGTCTTGTATGTGAAGGTATGCACTGAAAGTACCTCAGAAATATGTGACTGCATTCATGGCTATCACTGTATATGTTTGCACCCAACAGAAAGATACCCTGTTCCAGCAGTTTCTTATTGCAGTTTCTTTGGAGGGACTGGAAAACAAATACAACCTTGAGTTGAGCAGAGGTCAGGCTAAATACAGCACATCTGATACTTATTACTCTGCATGAGGGTCAGAAATTAACTTTTCCATTAAGGGGCAATATTTGCTGTCTGGAATTAATTTCCATTTACACAGTTTAATGCTGCACATGTACATGTATTTACACAAAAATTGCAATTAAAATAGCCTAGAAAAAAAAAAAAAAGGAATTCATTAGAGGGTGAAGCTGCATTATCCTTATTGCTCTTGTTATTGTAATAATCATTACGGTTTTTTTTTATTTCATTTATTAGTTTTTTTTTTGTGGGGGAAAAGCAGGTCATATTCTGGCTACAGACAAAACAAGCTAAGAACTGTTTATGAATTTGTTTATTTAATTTCACAGATTGGAAAATCTAGACTAAAGAAAAGTAATCTTACGTCTTTTCTTATGATGATGAGCTCAACAGAAATGAGGGTGATTGGTTATAATGCTCAACGCTGCAAAACATGCATAAAAAGAAATCTTATGCAACATGAGAAAATCTACTGTAAATGTAATGCCACATTCGACACTTTATTCATTTCACATTTCACTTTAATTGTGACATAATAAATGGCTTAATTGTGCAGGGGCATAATTTTGCCCATCTTATCTTGAATCTGCGGGGGCATTTTGTTCATTTTGGTGGGATTTTTGCCCCAAGCCACCATTAATTTCTGACCCTACTCTGCATCTGTCTAGTTCAGAAAATGCCTCTTCCATGTCCATTGATCCTATCGTGTAATTTCCCCCCCCCCCCCCCCTAATTTATTGGAAGCAGCAGTTTAATTGTTTCAGAAAATTCAGATGTTAGAACAGAACTACATGTTAACACCAGTGTCTATGGTAAAATCCTAAACTGTAAAATGACAGTAAAAACAGCTATTTAAACAACTTTACAGTTAACTGTTATTAAAGGTTTGACAAAAACAAAAGGTTTTGTAAAAAGCACATGCCGCTTATGGAAAAGCAGAAATACATTGGTTACCCCGTGCACCGTATCAAATGCATGTTGAACTTACAGCACATGAAGTAATGGGGTTTGCTGCATTCACTACTCTATCGATTTGAAGAGAGAATGAGAAAGCACAACTGGTATCTGTGTATCAAACCTGCGAAAAATTAGTATTGAAAATATCTGAGAATCAATATGTATTTTAAAAATCTTAATATGAAAATAAACATAATTTGGTTATATTAGATGTGTATTTTAACATTGTATTTAGTATTAAATTGGCTAAAATAGTGACATTCTGCAAACAGCTTTGTCAATAGATGAGTAAACAATTTGAGATTTCAGTTTCTTTGTGAAATGGAAGTAAATTTTGTGTAGAATACATTTTTTTTTTCTTCTGTTTTCTAGATATCAGTATTGGCATCAGCCATTGAACAAATCTCGTCTGACCTTGTAGAAACTAGAATTTTGTTTTAAAAAAATATTTATAAAATACTATAAAACCTCCATTAATTATAAAAATAAAATAAAAATAAATGCAAACAGTGGTATGATTGTTAAATAAGGTGACTTGCCTCTGAACCCAACAAGAAAAAACAACTGAAATGGGCTGACATTTCTGGATCAGTATTGCAAAGGGATGAATTTTGCTTAAAGCAGTTTGTTGCCATTTGCAGCCACAATGTTTATTTTCCCAGCATCAGACAAATTTGTCCGTGGCAGTAAAATCAACCTAGTGGGCGTATAATTGCTGGAATGAGCTTCTGTCCACTTGGTGCTCTGTCCGTCGTGCTGGGTTTTAAGCATCAACACAGATGTATTTATTTGAAATGGAATGGAACCGTTCTAAAAAGAAACAAGTAGTCATTCCAGTAGGTGAATCAAAACATCCTGACAGTGTTGCTGAGGAAATAACAATTGAAATGACAATAACAAGAAATGACTTTTACTCTTATTAGGGGAAATGGGTTCATGTATGAAAAATACTCACCCAGTCACAGAATCCGAAAAGTGTGCCATTTCTTATTTATTTACATCTATTATTTTTTTTAATGCATGTATTTAGACTTCCCTTTTAGACTTCTGAAAAGCAAAGTTTTCGGTTTCAACTTTCTTACAACAGAAGGCCCTCTAGCAATGTTCAAACATGTTGGGTTATACAGCATTGTAACACAATGGATAGTTGTTCATACTTGACATCAGCTCAGTGTGCCTGAAGAAAGGGTGGGATTTCTATACTTTACTTTGACGTTCACTGATTTATTGGTTATTCATCAATCTATAGTAACAACAGTTTGAATGCATAAGTGGTATATTACAGTTAAGCTGTTGAAAAATTCTATGGAATAATTATCTCACATCTCAAGCCCCTTGTGTGTTTGGTGGATTAATATTTTTCTAATGCTACCAATAAGATTTTAAAGGGGTCATATGATGCTATTTAAATTTTTCCTTTCTCTTTGAAGTGTTACAAGCTCTTGCTGCATAAAGAAGATCTGTAAAGTTGCAAAGACTAAAGTCTCAAATCCAAAGAGATATTCTTTATAAAAGTTAAGAGTCAACCACACCCTCCTAAAACGGCTCGTTCTAACACGCCCCCACATATCTACGTCACGATGTGGGAAGATTTGCATAATGCCGCCCAAATGTTCACGCAAAGAAAGAAGGCATAACTTTTATTCTCGCTGTAGTATTGTTGCTGCCGCCATGTCGTGAAGACACGTGTGTGTTTGTGTTCTGTGTGTTTCGTTGTGAAAGCGAAACTACTTTGTTTGGCCTTCCAAAAGAGGACGATATCCGCTTCGTCATGCCTAGAGCTGATGGAAATACATCAACTTCGCGCTGTGGATCGCCGGATTTTATGGAAGACTGTTTCCTGATCCTGGAAGAGTAGACTACAATGTCAGCTGTTCTGACTCACAGACTGTAAATACGTTTTCATTTTAAGGATTTGCCAGCAGTGTAGAGTAGCGCTTGTTGTTTGTCATTTCTCCGATCACAAATGCAGACATGGTTTACATGGTTCGTTTTCATTTTAAGGATTTGCCAGCAGTGTAGAGTAGCGCTTGTTGTTTGTCATTTCTCCGATCACAAATGCAGACATGGTTTTATGTTTACGCGGCGCGATGCAACGCGAAAAAAAGACAGTATAAGTCATTATAATCCGTAATTATGTCCCCACTGAATGCAACAAATGCCTCATTTATAATGGGTTTTAATGTTTTTGTCTCGTCGCTCCAGCCGGGACACGCCATCACAATATGGTAAGGGGCGTAACATTTCCGTCACACGCTTGAGGCATTCGGTCAATCACAACGTACTGGATAGCTGGCCAATCACAGCACACCTCGCTTTTCAGACCGATGAGCTTTGTTAAAATCAACGCGTTTCAGAAAGGCGGGGCATAGAGGAGAAACAATAATGTACAGTATGTGGAAAATAATGTGCTTTTTGAACCTTAAACTTCATAGACAAATTTCATTACATCAAAACACAAAATAATGTTATTTTTAGCAACATCATATGACCTCTTTAACACATATTAAGGTGAAGTCACAGTTCACAGAATGCTGCCAAGTTTGTTCAAAAATCATTGCCACATTTATGGGATCAATTTTCCATCAAAAGTATTGCAGTCACAGATAAAAAAATAAAAATAAGCATGAAATCAAAATGTAAAAACGCAAGTAGTAATATATTGCACAAAATTAAAAAATTAAAGCAAAGTTTTCAGAATAGCAAACAATGGTCACAGATTGAAAATTAACAAGCGTAAATCAAACACATTTAAAAAAAATAAGCATGAATCAAAACTAAACATTTAAAATCATATTGACATATATAAATCATATATTGACAGGTAGACACATATAATGGTGTCCTATGGAAAGATGTTATCCCAGCTGATGGTTACACTGAGCATCAGCAGCTAATGAGTGACATATTGGACAGTATTGGGGTGACGTCAGGTCCCCTCTTCGACTGCTTGGCTGAGGAGGAGCTGTCAATCTAGAACTAGTGGACCAATGATGATGCTTAAGCCTGCCCTGATTGCCCTGCAACTTTGGGAAAGGCAAGCGCAAAACATGGAAATGAGCGAATTGGTCAAGCACCAATTACACTGGTTGCCAGCCGCCGTTAAAAACCAAGAAGAAGAGCGTGAAAAACAGCATAAGAATACAAAAAAAATCAAAATATGAGCAGAAAATGTCTGAGAGCACAAAAAAAACGGAAATATAACCAAGGAAAACACGATTTTGTGTGCAAGTCGGATAATATTTCATTAATATTTAAGTTTTTTCAATATGATTTTAAATGTTTTGATTTTTGATTCATGCTTATTTTGTAATGCGTTAAATTTTTGATTGAAATTCTGAAAACGTCGCTTTCATTTTTTTAATTTTTGTGCTATATATTTTTACTTCCGTTTTTCAATTTTGGTTTCACGCTTATTATTTTTTTGTCCGTAACTGCAATACTTTTGGCGGACAATTGATCCCATACACATTCTGTCTGGACCTGTTCCTAGTTGTCAGTGACACTTTGCCTGTCTGTTACTGTGTGTATGTGTCATGTGATTAGTGATTGAGTTTTCAGTATGTGCGGTCCACTGTTAACATATGCCTCTGCGGCTCATTGCTCTTTTCTGCACCTGATCCCACTGATTGTTGACCTGCTGAGTAGCTATAACTGGAATTCCTCTAATCACTTTGTTCTGTGTGGACAGGCAATCTGACTCCTTTCCTTCATCAACCAAACGGTACGTTTATTTGGAGGTTTTCTTAATGCATTTATAAATTGTTTGGTGTTTCCCTTTCAAATGTGTTTTGCTTTCACTTATGTTTGACAAACCAGGGATGAGTACAAAGACTTTGTTTTGCCTTCATTTGTTGTGTTTAATGTGATATATAATTGGTTGTTGTGAGGCAGAACTTTACCTGTAACTTAATAATTTATGCCTTCATTGTGCTTCATACTCTAGTCCAGAGTTCAGTTTATTAGTGGAGCCCCCATCTGGAAATGCAGAGCATCTGATCGCTGAGATTCTGCTACCTGGAGTGGTGAGTTAATGGAGGTCTGGTTTTGGACTACGTTCAAGCACGTTAACACACAGTACGAGATTCTAGGCTTGACTGTCTTCCTCACTAGATATCTGCTCGCTCTCTTGTTCTGGATTTGGGAGAGGACAGACTAGTGCTTGTTGCTCAACCTTCTCTTTTCCACTTGGATATTTTCTTTCCCCTGCTTATTGACCAAGAAAACAGTGTTGCCCAGTTCAACACAAATACACAGGTAAGTAAGCATAGCATAATTTGCCCATTTAAAGTTTTTTTTTTTTTTTTTTTGTATGGTCTTTTTTTAAACTGTACACAATTACCGCTCTTTGACCCATTATATCTGTGCTGGTGCAGATTTGCAGTATGTCTCATACAGTCTTTTCCTGTTTTCTTTTCAGATGCTCACAGTGACCATGCCAGTAGTGTCTTCATAAAAACTATTGCAAGGCTATTATTTCATAATAAACTTCTTAATTTTGTATACAGAAAGTGTTATGCGTGTTGCTCAATAAGATTTAATCGGTAACTAATTATATAAATGTTATATATATATATATAATATAAATGTTATTCTTTTTAGAGGTGTATAATACATTTCTGACGATGTATTCTTTGTTGCCCTCTACCTTCTGCCAGGGATTATTATAGAACTGTATCCTTTAAACAGCAAAGACATTTTTGAGAAAGACTGTTATGTTGAGATTTTGTTGATGTCAAATGGCAAAAACTGAAATCTCTGGAAGGAAATTCTGTGCTCTGATGAGTGCAAAGGCTCGATGTTTGGTGCAGACCCACAGGAAATATTATTTGTGCATTTGGGGGTTTTCTTAATCAAGAACTAGAAGCTTTGTTGGCGCTTTGATATAGCCAAATGCAATGTGAATAGAAGCAAATTCTGCATGTTCTAGTAAAGTCACATGGAAAAAAAGGTTAGCATTCTTGAAGTATGGCTTGAAAAGCAGCCTAGAGAAACTCTACTTTTAAAAAGAGCTGGAGAACCACTGAACTGGCATTGATTAGAATAAATGTCCAGTAATTGTACAAATCTGTGAGCAATCTAAGGACTGTAAGGACTATGAACCAAATATTGATTCAAGAAAAAATGACTCGTTCTAAATAAATAAATAAATGTTCTTCAATAAAACTATGTTTGACTAGAAAAATATGTTAGTGATTCATGTTCACAGAAAGAAAATAAAGTGACCATTGTAAGACACAAAGCTATTGTAATCTACTGGTAAAAGATTTCCCTTTACAACAAAATAACTGAATCGTAATCTATTAAAGTCTGTTGTATTGTCATCCAGCCAACAAAGGCCAAGTAATTTTCGAACAAAGCAACAATTGTGTGAGCAGAACATGTTGCCTTGGACCTCACTGCATGGATCAGCAACTTTCCCATCTACTGCAACTTCAATCAACTTTCTAATCTGCTATCTGCAGGGTTAGTATTTTGGCTAATTATCTGAATAAAGAAAGGTAGAAGAACAAACAAAACTTTATTTTATATTCCTGGACAATACCTGTAAGAAATGAGAGCCCATCCATTTTCCTCAAAGTTGTCTTAGCCATTACCTTATTTTACATTGGGTCAAATAGAAAATGTCTTCTAGGAAGAATTGTGTCTAAATCCACTGTGCTATTTTTGTTCCCAACTGGCCCTTTGTTTTTTCTGTCTCTTTTTATATCCCTGTGTTTGTTGTGTGAGGTCATTCCCCCTGTCTCCCCTAATCCCTCGTGGTCATCTTTCTGTCCCAGAGTTCATATCTAATCCATCCATGGTCCTATACCGTAGCTGCTAACACCCTCCATCTGTCCCTGTCCTCATATAAAAACAACCCATTGTCCCACATTACAAAGCTCTCATAATTCACGGGGACTCTCCCCTCATTCTTTGTGTGCCAGTGTTTCTTCCTTTTCCGCTGTGAACCCATCCTACCATCACCAAACGGTAAAAGTCTTTTTGTTACTTCTAAAACAATTGCATTTTCAGTCAGTTATTTCCATATGGAGAAAAGTAATTGAATTTTCAGTATAATTCAGTGAATCTGAATAAAAAAATGATGAAAGCAGAAGGTCTGTTGATTTTCAGTTTTTGTGTGCAGTTATAAATAATGTTAGTTTCATCCATTATTGTGTTTGTGTCCTGTACCAGACGTGTGTACTCATTTAGGACTCCAAAATAAACGTAATTAAGTAACTAAGAGCAGAACAGTGTGTAGTTCTCCAATGATGGTCATAACCTGCATACATTTTCCTGGCTTAATTGCCTGTAGTATAGTCTGTACTATTTGTGTAGTGTTTGATGATGTCCTTGACCAAATGATGATTTGATGGAACTATGAATAAAATTCACTTTCAGAGCCATAAAGATTTGCCGTAACTCATGTAAACCCCCCCTGGGTTCTTGGCTAAAATTAACCTGTCAGAATATTGTGGTTAATGCCGCTATGACCTTCCATAACTTAAATGCCCCTCAAACGCCCTCTTTGTCTGCCACTTTCTCATCCTGTTGTTTCTTGCGTCTATCCCTACTTGGGTCGATCCAGAGCGAGTGGTATCTTCTTTTGTATCTTTTGTAATTTGATCATTTCGTGCAGAATTTGCCAGACTCATGCTCTTTAGATGCTGAGAATCTCATTAGCAAAGTAAAAGCAGGGCGAACTGTTGAAAGGACGCTGGTTTTAGATGGGCACTGCATGTGCTTGCAAGCCTTTGTCCAGAGACAGTAAAGTACAAGAGGGGTGGTGACCGCTACATGCCTCATAAATTCTGTCTGGCGATGACACTGTAGCTATAAAATTGTTTCAAATAGTAGTTATGATATGACTGATGTGAAAGATGAGGCACAGGGAGAGGGATCTGGCAGCGGAATGTTAATGACTGCAATCAAACATTGTATAGTCATTAACTGCAATTCCTGCAATCAAATCCAGAATTTACAGTTAGGGAAAACAAGCAAGGCCAATTACAAAGCAGTTTGCTCTCAAGATTACATGCTGCCTTGTCCACTTAGCCTACTTGACAGCTGTGCAAAACAGAACTAGGTGCTACTTGTTCTCAGAGGACAAAATGAGAAAAGAGCATGTCAGAAACCATAGTAAAGTGCAAGGGAAATGGAAGAACCGAACAAAGAAAGTGTCAGAAATCGTATCTCACCCTGTCTTTGTCTGCACATTCCCACCTGCTCTCACTCATCAGTCTTCATATGAAGCATTCAATCAGATGTCAGCGCTTTGGGACAATGGGACGATTTAGATCTGGGGCCGTATGTATAAAGCCGCTCAGAGTAAAATTTGAGTCTTAAGTGTGTCAAAATTCTTAGAATGATGTAATTTTACTCCTATTCCTAGACTTAAGAATAAGTGTGATTCATAAAGGTGTTAAGACTAGGTCTCAGCTCCTAAATGATTTAAGAGAGCTGGAGAGGTCCCCTAAACAAGTTAGGAGTAACAAGATGGCAGCAAAAGGAGGAGACGCACTTTCCAACGAAGATATGACATATTGGAGTTATATGTTGATAAAATGATACAAACTTGATCGCCAAGATAGTAAATTCTTTTTGTAACTGACCAAGTAAGAAATTTAATAACTTCTTCCACTCTACAAATCAATGCTCTAACTGCAGAAATCAAAGTAGTAACATTTTTTTTTGCTGGAAAACTGGAAAAATGCAGCAATGCACCGGTGATGACACAGGGTCTTAAATATTGTGGCACTAATCCCACCAAACACAACAGTGGCCAAAAGTGATGTGTGGAGGTTTTTTTTAATGACCCCAAATATCACTTAAACCATTCAAATATGAGAGAAATAAAACACTGACCAGTGTTGCCAACTGCTTTCAACTGAAAGTAGCTAAAAC